AATAACCAAAAAGGGTACCGTAAAAAAGTTAAATGCAATTTTATGAACTGACGTCTAGTGTGTGTTTCCAGAGAACGTCTGTTGAGTAAACTAATATTAAACTAAATGGGGCTAAATAGCAAAACTGAACTGTTGTAAAAATATTTTTTATAATCGGTTTATAAATGATCCATCATTTATGAACCGATTATAAAAAAACTATTAAAGAATTCCAGTTCTGAGGTTCCTAATAGACGTAAAGATATACAACTCAGAAATATAGTAAAAATATACCTCCTGCTTTTTTGAAGTCGGTTGAGAATTGTAAGAAACATAAGCACCGGGTACACTTTACCATCATTATCGTCATCATATTCAGGCGTAAGCCGTCCACTGTTGGACATAGGCCTCAATGAGCGACACTTGCATCTACCAGTTGCCCGCGGCTCTATCTCGAACCGGAACACCATCTAGGTGGACCGACGACATCGTTAGAGTAGCCGGTGTATGAATAACCGGTGGGTATATAATAAACCACTTTAGCATCTCATGGTATTCATAAAAGATATTCGAATACGAAATTGAACATCATTTCTCAACATGTCATACACTTAAACAGATAAAGCTAATTAGAAATGAAACATATAATTGCGCTCTAAAAAGGGAGACAACGATTCATAAAATTCCAGAGTTCCCGAATTATTGTCATATGGACGTTTGACTCACGAAGAGGCAGAGAAATCGAAGAACAAATTATTTATATTTGTTAACGGGGACCCGTGGGGAAGCAACGGAGGGAAACAATACGACCAATCAACAAATATTTTTTCCCCAATTCCACCAAACATGGTCCTCCACTTACCTGCCACTCCCATCGACGCGCGTCCCAAATCAATCGAGAGAGAAAACCCCCCGATAATATAATAGAATTGAATTATCGCCCGAAATGAGGCAGGGAGAACACGCTAGGGTTGAACAAATAAGATGTTTATTTTTTAAACACAAGGTTTGTTGTCTCGAGTTTCGCCAATCAATTATCATCTTAATATTGTGTGTATTTTATTATACGAGTATATGCATAGCGTCCTAGTATTGTAACTTCCCACGTTTTTATTACAAAGTTACGGAAAATGTTTTCCCCCATAGATTTTTATTGATAGTTATTTGGTGTAGAAACTAGTCTAAAAATGCGCAACAGCCTTATAAACTATAATCGCTGTGAAAAGTGGAAAGCTTAAGATGTGAGTTTCTTGTAAAAGTAAAGTAACAGCCAAATCCCACTGCTGGGTAAACCTGGGCCTCCTCTGTACAGAGCATAGTTCACCCCGCGATTTTTTTTTTTCGATTTTGGTCGATTATATTTAGGTTTTCTCACGATGGTTTCCTTCACCTATTCCAATTGACAATTTCATCTTTCATTGGTGCTGGCACCAGGGATTTGAACTCTCGCTTTGCTCGAGTTTGAATTAAAAGCGAAAGTCTTAGCTATCGAGACGTGAGTTTCTATTTTGTAATACTTGTTTATTCATGAAAAGCTTGCGTTATCATAACAACAGCATGTTTGTGTGACAGCCCTGCAGCGAAACGGAGTAAGACGCGGGCCGTCGAATGAAAAAATCAGTGATTCGATTGTATTCGCTAACAATCGCCGCGATACCGAATGGGATGTTTGTTTCCCAGTCGTTTGTGTAATGTAATAACGCGAATTGTTATAGAAATCGACCGTGCAACAGGTCAGCCGTTACAATGACTGTTCCATTCCGATGTTTCAACAACGCGTCTACGGAAAGAGCGGGGCCGTGAAAGGAAGACGGATTTAAAGTGATTTTCATAGTTATCGTAACGTATGATGGCGTTAATTGATAGTAGAAGTAAATTTTCCTATATTTGAGCGACTTATGAATTGACAAAATATGTATGCTTTCTTATTGTATGTTGCATGGATTGAATGTGTCCATACTACAGAGAAAACTCTTATTTCGTCTTATCACATGGCTGTTGCTGCTTCAAACGTTATCCATTGGTTTTCGAACTTGATTGCCTCATTGTTTGTTTGCCAAAAAGACACATTTCTTCCATAAACACGTCCATACGTGACTTCAGTCAGTGCCGATGGTAAATTCAACGAGCAAAACTATCTGTATAATTATGTTGTTTTGTGTGAATATTCCCAATAGATTCTATTTAATTATTATAGTAATTGTAATCGAACTTAGCTTGGGAAAATATTGTCACGTTTTCATAAACCTACTACAAAATTTATTAGGTGGAGGAGTATCAGAATTCAAACTTTCGATTATTTGACCTATCCCAGATAGAAGGTTACATACTCCTGTGTCAGAAAACTAATTAATTCAAGCATTTCAAAATTTCGAACCAACAAATTAAATCACGAGAATCCAACCTAAAAGTTCGCGCTCAAATATCAATGCGAAAGTTAATTAAAACTGTAACTTAACTAATAAATCAAGCAAAACAAGTTACACGCTAAAGGTTTCCAACAATGAAATTAATAAGTAATTTAGTCATTGTCCGTTTCGAACGAGAGTTAATTGCGTAAAAAAGCCGAGGAATGAAATAGAATTGCAACTTAATTTTCCACAGATTCCAAACAATTCAGCACTGACTGTGAATTAGTTACGAAAGATTCGAGCCCAGGTAATTTGTGAAGCAATTTGATTTTCATTTGACGATATTTGGCGCTTAATGGACTAAATTTCACAAAGTTTGTATCGAAAAGTAGCAGTGTAAGTTTGTATAGAATATTATTACGGGTAGTAATATTCTATATAAGCTTTCACTCGCGGCTTCACCCGCGGGAGTATTTTCGATATAAGATACGAGATGAAATGTATCCCTACGTTAACATATAAAACGGATATTGCTTTCACACTGAATTAACATTCAGCGTGAAGGTTATATATAGTATTATACTTATAAATCGATATGTGTAGTTTTTCATGGATTACAAAAAGGCTAGATCGATTTTAATGAAATCTTCAGATTAGTCCAGCGGATCCTATAGTTTGATAGCGACCGGATCAATAGAATTTTCTTTAGGATTATTAGTGCTACCTGAGCAAAGCCGGGGTGGACCGTCATTATAATAACGAGGGTCAACTAAAACAGTAATTGTGATATTGTGATTTTTGCACCAAACTTGTAATTTATAAAATAATGTGGCAAACGAAGAGACTTCGTCAGGTACTTCATCAGGTGTAAAGTGATTACCCATCTAAATCCTTGTGGATGACAGATAGAGGTTTTATGTGGCCTTGGATTTTCATTTTCACAGGGCATTTAGAAATGTTATGGTTCCACGTATACCGGAAACATTATTTTTCTTTGTGCTTCCCTTATCCTACCACGGTGGAGCTGGCACGACATGTAGATCTTATTGTTATTTTTTTTTTGAAAAGTTGCCAAACGAGCAGGCGCTTCAACTGATGTTGAGTGAATATAGCCGCCCATGGACATCTGCTACATTCCAGGGTTCCAGACGTGTTGACAACTCTTGAAAATTGGGCTCCGGCCACCTCACTCACCAGACGAAACGCGAAAATATTATACTTCCACTTTACGTGAGGACACTTTACGTCTTCTGTGAGGTCGCGGTACTTACGCGGACGGGTCTGACCATTCGTGCAACAGCCGAGGTTGCTGCGTTGCCCTACCACCATTGAATTATTGTTAAAGATATTGGCTAGATTTTTTTAACGATCACCTGTCTGCTTGACGTCAGCCCTCCTTGGGAATAAACACCCAGATCCGGAACAATTACTTTTAATGTGTTAGGGCCACGCGAAAACTCCTGCTGTTGTATGAATACCACGGGCGCACAGGAAACTGGCGTAAAGTGGAAGTATTACACTTTAGCGTTTCTTCTGGCCAGCGAGGTAGCCGGGGCCCACTTTTTTAAAGGTTTTTAAATGCATCTGCAAGCCTTCGGCTGTTCCGGATGTCCATGGGCGGTGGTATTCACTTAATATGAGGTGAACCGCCTGCTCGCTTGATAATTTATAAAAAGAATATCTGTCGGTCACACCTACTAATAGTAGTCGCGTATGGGAATCGAACCTGAAGACTCCTGACGCTGAAGACAATAGCTTAGCAACTGCGCCACCGAATCAACAACATTAATTGAATAGTACCTGTTTTTAGCTGTGCAATAGTAAGGGCCTACTACTTCACGGGCCCTCAATTTGTACCCTCTCTTGACTTTTCATCATCGATTTGCTACGAACTAATAGTTTCGAAAATACTGTTTAATTATTTATCTGGGTTGTGCAGAACTGAACTTAGGCGTTTCCTGTGGTTTGCTCAAATCAATTAAGGGTGCCTTTTCTGCTAAAATTGGACAGCCACACTTTTGTGTCCGTTCCACGTCGTTGGGCTCGTTAACCTTCTCGTCTTGGGATTTAATAAGGAACAGTGACTGGATTGCCTAACACTATCTCTTCAATCGATGAGAGTAGATCCACGTTTGGCGTAAATTTTTATACAAATATTATCGTAGGTGGATTTGTGTGCATATAAACTACAATTGCACCGAATGAGTAAAAAACGTTTTTTACTGTTTACGATGGCATAAGTCTTCCACCTTTTCGACCGCAACACGAAATAAATTTGCGATGAGGATATAATAGTGCCTTTTGTTAAATACAACATGACAAGCTTAGCGTAACTAAAGTCCTATTCTAGAATTGGAAAAAGGCATGGCTCTAAAGCCATGTTAACAGATATTGGATATCTCAATTGCTTGCATCGGTACAACTTGTTCAATTTATAATATTGAATTAAATTCATATGTATAAAAACGAAGTAGAAATAGTACAACAATATTATCCTAATAGAAATTTTATGAGCAGTAATATTGAAATAGACTAAATGATGAATAGACTAATGTATTTTGGCTTCGTTATCGAGAAAATCTGCGCCGGCAACAATCGTGATAGCCAAAGAAACATAAACTGAGGGAGATATTAATAATAAGAAAAACGTAACATATAAAACGCACTTACCCCGCTTAGCGTTTTGATATTGTGCAAAGCGTCCTGCGCTTTCAATGCCGCTTTGCGCGTGAAAAACGTCACAAAACAGCACCCTGTAACAGAAGCGCACACTTACGTAACATGGCCGCACACACACACGAACGGGAACGAATGTCTACACATATAAACATACATCGATACGTAAATTAAAAAAAAAACATCAAGATATCAAATCATAGCACTGGACTAGTACAAACAACCATAGCGTATGCTTTCGAGGAGTTACTTGAATATATTTAACATGATTTTTTTTATCACAAAACAAATGACATTCAACAAATATGTATGGACGTAGAGTTTTTATATTAAAGGCGGCACATTTGTTTAAAATTTAACATAAATTTAATGAGTAAAGAATTAGGAAGTTGTGTCAGAGTAGACGGATAAATTATGAACTTTGTCCACTCCCACGGTGAAAGTACGTTACATAATTCATCATTGATTCTATGCCATCTATAATGTAAAAATTAAAAACTATTTAGTTAGAATAACATCACGGAAATTTTGGTCAGTAAAAATTGCACCAAAGTATGGAGTCTCTACCTATTAATATTTTATCTATAATGAATCATGAAAGAGGTTAGACATAAGTTACTAGACTATCTGAACAAAAGGAAATATCATTCAATTTTCAAATTCTGAAATATCAATACAATAAATCATTTATATATTTCATATATTCAACTGTTACGGTGTTTGGTGTAGTTGCAAGATATAAGGACATTGATCAGGAATATCATAAGATAGTTCTGGGGTTAACAAACCTATGACACAGCTTAGACGCCGGTATAAACGGCGGCATTATTAAAGCTCACTTTTCGCTATAGCCGGCCATTTCGTAAGAAGTCAGCCGAGGCGTTCGACACGCGATAGTAGACGCGTGCGTGGTTGACGGGAAAATGGCATGTTCAGCTAATCGTTCGGCACGCCACGGGGCGCTTTGAGAGGGCAAACAAGGCTCCCGTTTGGCTTCGCATTTCACCGCCTTCAGTTCGGACGGTTTCCCGTCATTCAGTCGTTCGAAAGCCGATGAAAACGCCCGTCGACGAATATCGCATGCCAGGATTAAAAAAAAAAAAAGAAAAACAATAATCCAACAATGAAATTGTTCCGCGAATGAATTTCAATCAAGCTCATTTGTGCCTCGCGCCGCCCTCGTTTGTTGCGTTAATTTCGCCTTCGCGCCTCCCCACCCTTCCTACGGCTGATAGCGATACTTCAAAAACCGAATTCCTCAAAAAGCGCGCCGCGGGCGATCCCGGCACCCGGAGGAATTTTCAATTTTGTGTAATAACAAATAAGCGCCGGGTGCATGTTATTTCAGACGAACGGCCATTTTAAATCACGCTTCGGCTGTTGGCGTCCCGTATTCAAAAGTCGAATTCGATGATAATGCGAACGTGAAATTGTGCCAATTATTTTGAATATCGCTTGGTCGGATCGCGGTTTGGGGACTTGGGATTTTTGAGTGCGATTTAAAATAGGCCATTTTTTTATTTTCACGAATGCTTTTGCAGCTATATTATAATTCGATTATGACACTGCGCCCTCAATTCGATTTTATCGCTACATGGCCTTTGAAATTATGCAGATTTGATCGTCATACAATGAATTTGCGAATTAAAAACAAATTACGTGATAGCCTTAGCTGAAGCTGCTAATACGGCCAGAGTATAATAATAATCAGAGTTACTAGACTGTTGATCTGAACAGGAATCTTTCACTTTGTTTTGTTTTAATATCTGCAGTTCACATTACTGGCGGCTTGGAAAATGATGAAAAGTTGAACATAATTTCACGTCTATTTAGTAGTTTTCAGAGAAAATAATAAATGAGGAAGGGAATTTGTACACTGTTTAATTGGTTATGAAATGTAGATAACTAAAACAAAAGCTGTATATTTGCTTTATATATATATATATAAAGCAAATATCTATAACTCTCTAAAGATTCTAGGTCTCTACGGAAATCATTATTGGAAGCAGATTACTTCTGGGATGTAGGCATAAACACAGTTTGCACCATTAAATCTCGTTTTTAGATATCCGACTTGTTTTAAGTCAGCGCAATACATTTATCAAGTCATAAATATGTTTTTATATTAAATAATAACCTCAAGATAACTTATACATGCAAAAAAAAGTGTTAATATAACAATAACTTACATAATGGAAAAAATATTTATAAAACGTCTCGAACTATGGTCGTAAAGGTAACATAATAGTTGTCGATTATCCCCAAAAAGTTAACGAAAGGCGATGTATCTAGGCCTAACAAAACATTAAACCCCCGAAAGAGACCCAAGGGACCAATCTCGATCCGATCCATTATGAGGGAACCCCCGATAATTTAATTCAAGGCCGAGCATAGAGTAGGATTCACGAGATAAACACGAATATACATGTAACGGCTTAATAAAACAGGAACAAAGGTAAGTTACTCCAAATTGATAGCAAATTTCTCTGTAGCGGTCTTTTCGGTTGCTATCAATTATTGTGCGCCGAGGAGAGCAATTGATAAAATAGTAAAAATCGGTTTAATTCTCTCTTCTATAGTCTGATCGAAAAATAATGTGTTGCGAAATAATTTCAATGTCGAACCAGTTTCTCTGGTACAGTTTGAAAACAAAGGCAACATGAAATTTGGAATATTGGCATAAAGTAAGTACGAATGATATGAATATGTATACAGCGTGCTGTTACAACCGCGACAATAAATGAACACACGTCTACAGGATAACTTTTTAAAATTGTAATAAGCATTTCCATTCTTTAAACATAAATATTTACAGAGTTATTAAATTTCACAAAACAAACATTTTTAGAACATCCTTACGTATAAAACTGTAACGTAAAGTTCATTTGTAAAGGTCACAAAGCATATGAATGGGTTGAATGAATTTAAAAGAGAAAAAACACACTGCTTTATAGAAGGATAGACTTGTAATGCGACGTTGTGGCAACGAATGAAAAAGTCTCTGAATGTATGAATCAGTCAGTTGTAGTTGTATAGGTGTTATAAATTTTGTTTCTTTTTTATTTAATTAGTCTGTTTTAAAAATTTTATTTTAACGTTTTATATTTTTTAATGATTATTGGCAAGTAGCGTTAGACGTGTGTTCATTTATTGTCGCGGTTGTAACGACACGCTGTAAACTTTTTTTATTTATTACTAGCTGTGCCCGCGACTTTGTCCGCGTGGAATTTTAAGTTATAAAAAATCTAATATAAAAGTAGCCTCAGTTACTCCTTAATACATCAGCTATCTGTCAGTGAAAGTCCCGTCCTAATCGGTCTAGCCGTTTCAGAGATTAGCCGGAACAAACAGACAGACAGACAGACAAAAATTGTAAAAAAAGATATTTTGGTTTATATAACGTGTATACATCCATATGCATTTAGTAAAAAGCGGTAATTTAAATTGTTTATAGTGCTAATCTTTATCCAATTTTATTTATCTGTATAGATATAGACAAAAGATACGTTCATACAATAGGCTGAACCAAAGTGCTTATCTGCCGCTATGGGACTCGAACCATCGTCTTCGATGGTAAGGGCCTGACGCTCTAGTCCGTGACAATAGTAAAATAAATACCACACCGACGAAAATTTAACGCATTCCCACATTGTTTTCTTTTTCAATACAAAATTGCAGCTTTATTAAAAATTTCGCACATTGCTTTTTTTTAAACATAACGTAGCGAAGTTGTTGTTGTATGCTGGAAAGGAAAAACAATGGCGCCAACTTCAAATGCTAAGATAACTGGGTGACGAAACGAAATAAAACGTAATAAGAGCGTCGGAATCAGCCGTTTAGCTCAGTGCGCCTGAGCGTCAGGCCGCGAATGCCGAAGACGTGGGTTCGATTCCCACAGCGGCGACATCCGCATAGCTACATGAAAAAGCGGTATATTTTGCATTACAAACAGCAAAAGATGCCAATTTTATTTATCTTTATAGATCAAAAACGCACAACAAAGCGTATACAAAAATGAAACATGCAAAGTCGCCCTTTTTCCAGCTGCAAAACAATCGTCCGATGGTAAGGTAGTTGTGGCAGTCCGTGACAATAGTAAAATAAATAGCAGGGCGTTAACTTCCCGAAAGACCGGGCGCTTCGAATTACAAAATTGCAGCTTTATTAAAATTTTCCACAACGACAACAATGAACCATAACGTAGCGATGTTGGTGCAGCGAAAACAAGCGAGACAACAATTAAATAACTGGGTGACGACATCGAAATAAAACATAATAATGAGCGGGAGACAATGCACCGCGCCTGAACAGGCCGCGCTAGGGGATACCCGTCGGAGTATCCCATAGCGCGTGAAAATAAGGTATATATTCGCATGGCAGCCCGCAAAAGATCCTCGGACAAAAGACGCACAACAAAGCGTACAAAAATGACAACATGCACGCTCGCCCTTTGTTGGAATGCAAAACAATGACGCGGGGGCCGGCTCGTGTGTGAAGAGCCCCGTAATGAAATGACGGTGAACTGTTGTCCGTTATCCGAATCCGAATGGTGGGGATTATTAAAAATGCCCCGTTTCTATGAAAGAACATATGTGATCAATGAATCCAAATAAACTCAACAACTAGGATGCAAATAGGATGCTGTATCAGAAGTGGTGAGTCAGCAAGTGCTCGAAGGTGAAATCAAAACAAATTACGTTTAGTACAAATATTTTTTTATAATAGTACTTTTCGTAATATTCGAATTAAACATAATTATTTATTTATTTAGTCTTTATTGCATTTCCTTGAATTCGGAATACAATAGGCGGACTTTATGTAATGTGTTAATAGTTAAGTTATTGTCAAGAATCTGCCTCAATTTTTTGAAGACGGAAATTAAGCTCCTGATACGCCAATCTAATTTGCTTATATAATTACCCCAATTTAACGTATCCAGTATAATACCCAAATATTTAATATCCCTAGTTTTTTTTCTATGACAGCTATTACAATAGATTATGCTATTTTAGTTTCTGTTACATGGTAATAGTAATGTAACATCGTAAACCTTTTCAAAGCTTTACATCTATTAACATGGATACGCTTACATGACCGTTCCGTGTTACTAATGTAACTTTACTAATCGCGGTCCTGAAGTAGATTATAGGATTGAGTAAATCCCATAAAGTAATAAAGATATTGTGACTGTGAGGCTATGTGTTACTTACAATCTATTTGGAGGTTTAACTGAAAGTTATGATTTCATGAAAAGTTTCAATGTTGAATTTCGATTTATTTAAAAGGAGAAATTTGCACCTTACGAGACGTGGTCCCACATAGTTTTGTGCCACGCTGAAGGGGTTGCCAGGGCGCTGTTGAACTTTTAGGGGGCCAGCGATAAAGTTGCCAGTCACAATTATTTGACATGAATAAAATTACAGTTTAATTCACAAATCTTGGCGATGAAATGTCCCACGTATAATAGAAATTCAAACAACTCATATAAAGCATCAAAAATTCGTACTACTTACTGTGCGTTCCTGAGTAATATTCATTTTTAGGCTTTGGACCACGTTACGGAAATATTTGTAAATGGAAAAATGTGGAGTATGATGAAGAAGCATCTTAGCTGCAATTCGACCATAACTTTCAGCTACATTGTATTGGATGTTACATTGGGTGTGTGAGGTCTACGTACTCCGAACCACAATTATTCGACGCTAAGCACGATGAGGACCTAATGGCCCGTCCACCCACCGCCATTAACTATAACTATGTAGGCGGGCGTACCCACGTGCCCTCACTGTGCAAGAGAGTTTGCCGCCATGATCGGCTACATAAGCGATTTTCGGGCGAACCAAATAAACTGGGAGCTGAAAAGGCCACCATGCCATGGAAATCGGTCGATATAATCATTATCATCGGCTATATTGTAATGGACGTTACAATGCATGTGCATGTGTGAAAGACGTAGCTCAAAGGTGTCGGGTTACGTCAACCGCACACATGGATGTAACAATGCGTGTGTATGGTCCAACAGTGCTTGTGTGTGTGGAAGACGTAGCTCAAATGTTGACCGCACACATGCACAGTATGACGGCCGGTGCACCAACCTTTGCTCGCGCCGGTGATCTTGTCCCGCAGCACGTTGATCTGGTGCACGCGGCCGAACTCCTCGAACATCTGGCGCAGGTCGTTCTCGTCCATGCTGCGCGGCACTTGGCCCACGAACATCTGAAACGGGCACAGAGAGGAGACGAGTTAGACGTGTCCATCATCTTTACATCAGAACGGATCCTTGCTCTGTTTTTGTTGGTTGCGTGTCTTCTTGTACGTTTTTTTACAACAATTCCAAAGGTGTAACTGACTACGATGCCCGTAAAACGGGAAGGTTGTTAAGCAGAGCGGGCTATTTTCATATTATAAACAGAGACAAAGTTTCTCTAGTTCCATTAGTGACACGCGACTGTTGGCGGGGTTGACACCGTATTGCAAATACTTGTCTTTTATACACATACCTAAATAAAGCCGTTATCGGGAACAATGTTTTATACAGAATAATTCAAATGAATTTCCTCCTTGTGAAAGTTATTTAAATGCCGCCTCGATAAATTGCAACTGGGCGAGCGGACGGCGCATTAGTCACATAATAAGCCGGCGTCAGCGTAACGTGGGGGTTGGGGGTGGAATTCAAAGCGATCAGCGGCATTGACCGGTCGCCCGGAACCTTTTTAATTACGCCAATATATCACTTAATTTGCGAACCTCCGAAACTCCGTTTACACGCCATTGTCTCGATAAAATGGCGGGAGGAAGGAATCGCGACGCGAAGGGCTGGTGTTAACCAGTGAAGAAGTTTTGTAAATATCGTCACATTTTGCGATCTCAAAAATCTATATTGAAGTTGAAAATGAATTAATGATACTCGTAGAAGGCGTACGAATGTTCATTGCATTTAAATTTTAGTTAATGGTGTAAAAGGAAGGACAATGGTTGATAGTTGGGAATTAATAAGTTTACATATTTCGATTGAATATGAGAACTAAGCTAAGAATTATGATATCACTTAAAAACTTTAAAGCTGTAAAAGTATACACGGTCTATCGTTACAAACATACATACATACTACATTAAAGTACCGTTTCTGGCGTGTGGCCTAAAACCTACGAGCAATTTGTTTGACGTCAGAACAGAATAAATATTGACAATGAATGATAAATATGTTGCGTGTAACAGCGCGGCCAGAATTTTGACCGTAATGCGAGAATCGCGTTCCCATAACAGATAGGAGACGTTATCGCCGAAGCACCACCCGATCTAGGTCACATGAGGCCATGGATTTGCTAATGGTGTAGTGGGAACGAGCGTCGATCAAGTCTTGTGCGGGCTTAGATTATTTAATGTGCGCTTAAATTAATTACGAGAGCTGGGAATATATTTGCAAGCTGTATCCACCAGACTTCAATTGACGAACACCAAAATTGTAATACACAACCTGTGGGAATGTGGCTATTGTGCGATCATATAAGAAAGTGGTCCGAATAAACGTTCTCACCAGACGAAAATAAACAGTATGATACTCCCAATACTCAAGCTACTTCTTGACGCTCGGTCTTCTGTTTTGCCGTGGGCATCTCCGGATGGGCCTACAAAATCATGCAACGGTACAGCTGCCACGTGCTCCTACCACAGGCACAGATAAAAAGACGTAGAAGGCGTTATTGTCAAGATATACATTTAAATATATAAAAATGAATTGCTGTTCGTTACTCTCGCTAAAACTCGAGAACGGCTGGACCGACGTGGCTAATTTTGGTTGAAATATTTGAAGCAGTTCAGGCAAGATTTAAACGATGAGAAATTATGGGAAAAATGCATGGAAAATCGAAATAGCAACAATTTTTTCCCATACAAACTGTACCTGTCCATCTGTCAACTATGTGTTTCTGTGTAACCTGTCAAACACTTTATGCGCGTTCAGATAATTCTCTTTCTGTGATCTCTTCAGATTGCCGAATTCCTTGGAAATAATTTATATGGCAAAACAACGTTTGCCGAGTCAGCTAATATATTTAAATAAGCTCTCACCTTAATATAATCCGGATCTGGCATCTCGGACTTCTCGTCATTGTTGTTGATGTTATTGTTTATGCTGTTGTTGTTGTTGTTATTGTTGATGTTCATTGTCATCCCACTGTAACAAAACAATCATTAGTTTCATCGTTGTATTTCGTTATTGCAAACCACATCGTTGTATGGGCAGTTATAAAAATATTTTTTTTAACATGCCCTTACTTTAGGATTACATTATCCTGTGTTGCAAGGACGTTTTGCAGACATACATTCACGCGGACAAACACCCAGATGCGAAACAACTATCTGTGGGTCAACACAAATGGTTGTCCCGTGTGGGAATCGAACCCACGATCCAGGACGCCTAAGCCAATACCTTGACGACTGCGCCACGGAGTCATCTTTTGTTAAGCATCGGCCCATATTTATACCTTTTCTCTTAGTTTAAATAACGTAAGAAATACGAATGTGTTATATCACTTTTTAATTTAAAACTTGATTGGCCAACAAAAACATAGAGTTGACCATGTTATCTTGCTTAAAGCTTTTACATAACATATAATTTTAAAAATGAATTTTGCCAACCAGAACATCGATTAATTTGGCCGTGTAACCTAGCGTATGTTATAGCGTAGTTGCCTAACCATTAAAGACACCACGGCCAAAACAAGTTATTCTGAAGTTTTCATATAGAACACACTATATCGATACGTGTTGGATGTAACAAACTACTTCACATTTATGTCTGCTTGGAAAGGAAATTACAGATGTTTAAAACTCTTTGAAGGTATGTACCTAGAAAGCAGGCGTAGCGCAGTTTTCAGGCAAAATTTCTGACATGTATAACATCTGTATACAATAAAGAAAGGCTTAATTGAACGGAAGATATATCATAAAAACCCCGTTTATTTATTTGCAATTCGTTAATTGCATTTAAGTTATAAAAAATTGCTGTAAAACCGAGTCAAACTTAATGAGACGTATAGTTTTTTTTTTAAATTCTGTCTTAGTACACATGTTATGAACGAATCATAACAATTCCTGTATGTAAAAAGATATATTTAAACAGATTGTCTATATAAAAATGAATTTCAACAACACATTCATTATCTATTCTACAATAACTATCCATAAAGCGATTGAAATAAGCCAAGAAAGAATTATTAGACTATAAGAACAGAATGATAAGACATTATATTATATTAAGATTTTAAGACAAATAAATTTTACACGCGCAGTCGAATATAATGTTGCTAGAAACCGCCTAGGTTATGTTGTATACCTATGTATCTATATAAAATATGTATTTATAGCAGTACCTCATTGTTCTAGAACCGCCGTTCCAGGCTGCGTACACGGCGCACTTGTTTGCCACAGTGTTATCACCGATAAGAGCGTACATCGCTCGATTAGAGCACCTCCTTATCATTTATCAAACGATCGACCTACACGGCTCTCGAGCGGCGATGGCGTTCCGTAGTGCGAGTAGAAACGCATCGCCGCGCCGGATAGTTTTTTCGCGTCTACCCCCTTCTATGCATTCATGTTTTTATTTGAAAGATTATCAATGTATTCGTTATTTATCAAAGGTGTTTTATATCGATACGCCATAACTTGCAATATTTTCCATCAAATTTAATGGTTTGAACTGAATTTTTATGTTTTCCCACTAATGACGAACGATAGACAAGAAGAATTAAGTTACTGTTTAAAAAAAAACTTGTTAAGAATGTTTTATAAAGAATGTATAATAATGCCATCTATTGGCGATTTGATCAAATTAAAGTTGGCAAAATAGACTGAAAAACTTTTTTTTTTTAAATATGATACTTTCATTGATAAATCCTTATTTCCACATTATTATATTACCGTTCGGTGACTGATCACGGTAGTGTGCGAAAATTTCCCACGAGTCAACTAGTATTTCTTTAATTCAAGAACAAATTGCATCTAAGTACAATTAATTACGAGTTAATTAATTAGCCAATAAATCGTAAGTGACATTCGCGTCTCAATGTAGATTTCTTCGGATTTTTAACGATGTTTTTTCCATCGTCAATTATGCAAACACGAATCAATCATCCGAGGTCGTACTTAATTGTGATAAAACTTTAGAAGAATCTGTTATTTCATTACAAACAGTTTTAATGAAAAATATTTATGTAGCCTTTAAACATAAAGGCAAATACCATTGTTACTGTTCATAACAACTTTCTGGATATTATGAAAAGTTCATCAACGATTCAGTTAGGAAAAACACATTACAACGTCGATCCCTCACACACTTTCAACTAATCGGCAAAGTTACGTTCGTACTGTATAAGATGTAGCAATAATTACATAATACATACATATGGTTAATATAGTTAGACTTCAACTATATATCTATCTCTCTTCGACAAGAATACTAACTGCTACTATCTAATTTGGTAACAGGGGTAAACGGTAAAAATTAGGGTAAACGGGTATATATATGCCTTATCACCTTATAACTATAGTCAAAGCAGATAAATAATTTATTTTATAGGGTACAGGGATTGATAAATAAAATTGTATTCGTCATAAATAAATATCCATTATGGTAGTTGGTTGAACTATACGTTGATCATAATTACAATAACGATTGCTAATGTTCCTTTTTTATTTTCTGTATCGTTATTGGATTGTGACAGTAGATAATCGAAAAATATTGGGAGAAGCAAAGGAAGAATAATTAATTAAAGCAATTTTCAAAATAAATTAACAACACTTCCCACTTTAAAATAAACGCTTAATTGGTGCAAAATATTTTTTTACCTCGACATGTTGAGACGAATGATATAGAAATAATCTATGCGATTCTCTCAAGAAACTGAAGTAAGTAAATATCTAGAAGCATGTATTGTATAACCGTAACCAACATATTATTATAATGATGGTAGCACACTATGAACTTCTCTACAATATAGTTACAACTCGATTAATTAACACGATATCGATAAAGGAATGATAGCATTCAAGAGTAATAAATCAAAACATACTACGTTTTGTTACGTTGGCAATGTAACTATTTGTTCTAATTACAGAGATATTATCAAAGTGTACATCGTTATGGTATGTACATGCATTAGTATGTACATACCGTACCATTGGATGTATTAGTATGTACATGCTTCTCGCTTCGGCGCTTAGGTTATTAAGATCGATTATCATACGATGTTTTATTGTACGTTTGTTTGTATGATCGGGCTATGACCCGTGGCGGCTCAGTGTTCGGGTGCTCACTTTTAATTAAATAATGAAATCGATAATGTTAAGTACTGAATTATTAAATTCTCGGGTGGCGAAGCAAAACAAACATCACGAGGAAACCTGCATATTTTTGAAATAATTACAAAAAAATATTTCGAAGATATGTGAAGTCCGCCAATCCGCAGTGGTTTCTCGTGGTGGACTATGCCCTGATACCCCCTCTGTACAGAGGAGGCCTTTAGCAAGCAGTGTACATAAACAGGCTGTTACTTTACTTTATTATGGAATCGGGTGACTGTCCAAGAGCAATTTATGTACATTAAATGTATTAAACATTAATTATCCTACTGTGGAAGCAATTTCATGAGAAAGAGATGAAAAATCTATGATTCCGTGTGAATCTGAATCGATGAACTAGTAACTATCAGAGCAATTATTGTAGAGGAAAAACACAATGCATATCTGCTGAAAAGGTACATATTGTAGTAATACAGTACAGTAGTACAGTAGTATATATAGAATACCCTATCCTTTGATGTTGAGCAACGTTCTTAATCTACCATTATTTATGATTATTTTTTTTATGTGAAAAGTTGCCAAACGAGCAGACGGTTCACCTGATGTTAAGTGAATACCGCCGCCCATGGACGTATGCAACACCCGAGGGTTCCAGATGCGTTGACAACCTTTTGAATCACCAGACGAAACGCGAAAGTATTATACTTCCACTTTACGCTGGTCTTCTGTGAGGTCATGACTTACCCGGACGAGCCTGCCCATTTGTGCAACAGCCGAGGCTGCTGCGTGGCCCTACTACCGTTATTTTATGATTATTTGAATAGTTTCTGATAAATGACTGCGAATTTTAGTTAATCGCTGTTTTGTAATCAAGCGGTTGTCTGACATGTTCAAAAAGGGATACAAAGCCATCAAACATTTCAAAATTAGTAAATGGATTTTTTTACATTAAAATTTGTCAAGCGACCCGGTGGTTCACCTGATGATAAGTGATTACTACTGAAGATGGGTAGACTTCACAAATGTTCGAAATATTTTCATTTAGTTATTATTACCAGTGGTCGCCTCGTGGCCGAAATTCGACCATGTATCGAAAATAAATTAATTGACCATAATTAATTATACATGGTACAGTGTGTACTGTATTTTTTTTATTGATTTAATGTTTTTTATGCGTAATTAAAAAAAATAGCATTTAGCACTCCTTGTCTATATAAACTACTAGCTTTTCGCCCGCGGCTTCGCCCACGTTGAAACCCTTAAATAAATATCTATCCCCTTTAAGAACCCTTTATAACCCTTTTTCTAATTAAAAAATAGCCATGTCCTTTCTCAGGCTCTAGCTACAACAGCTAGGTGTACCAAATTTCATTTAAATTGGTTCAGTAGTTTTGGTGTGAAAGCGAGACAGACAGACAGAGTTACTTTCGCATTTATAATATTAGGATGGATAAGCGTGGGAAATTTCATACTTCTCCGTCTGTGCAGTTTTCGTAAAAAGGGGTATAAAGTTTTTGCTTCACGCATATATATATATATATAGATTTCGAAAATATATATATATATATATATATATATATATATATATATATATAGATTTCGAAAATATGGTAGGTATCTATCATGTATTTCTAAATAATAAATTGACACCTAAAATTGGTATTAACAATTTCATTGGTCTATGGGGGAGGCCTATGTTCAGCAGTGGACTCAAAAAAGCTGAAATGATGAATGATGATTTCATTGGTGATGGCACCTGGATTTGAACTTAATCGATTGCTTGAGTATATTGAATTAAAATCGAGCGCTCGGACATTGACCTATCATGACCCTATCCTCAGTAAGGGGTAGAAAAAATATAAAACTATGCTA